CAGACAAGACAGCACAGGGATATAGCCGACTTTTACAAGGTCAGAAAGTCCTGGAGTTTGACATGCACACGACAGCCACCTGTTACAGGTCTTTATTATCCCCATTCTGAAGACTGTGAGACAATCTAATCGGAGCAAATATTCTGTATGTGCTAATCAGAGAAGTAGACACGGGAATCAGTGGGCCACAGTAGTCAAAGGAAAAGAGATCTGACCTGCAGGTGTTCTAAACTTCAGGGATCATTTTTTTTTTCTTTTTGAAACCAAAATCCCAAAAGCCTAGAACCTTGGTTTGAAAAGGGACACCCAGAACTAGTCACTCATCAAAGCCACTGGATGCACTGATGACAGGGTTATTAAAAGTGTTCGTTTATTCAGTTCTAAATGCTATGATTTTTTAATATTTGATTTTGTTGACAAGCTTTTCAAACACTTTACAGCCTATCGCAGGTGAGGAAACACATGAAAGAACTGAAGCCCATGGTTCTGCAGAACAACTTTGTAATACTAAAAAGAGGCTCTACTTTAGGGGCCAGCTAACTTTTCCTGTAAAGGACTAGACAAGAAATGTTTGGGCCATAAATTCTCTGTCGCAACTGTTACTCTGCCTCTGGAGGCTGAAAAGTCAGAAAATACTAAATGGCTGGGCATGCTGTGTTCCAATAAACCTTTATTTACAATATAAATCATGCAGTGGCCTGGATTTGGTCCTCAGGCTGTGGTTTGCTGAATTCTGCTGTAATCCATAAGAGACAACCACGTTAATATAAAAAATAGTCATCACAGGGAGATGCTAACCATTTTCAGATCTGGCCATTCACGAGAAGCACCCGGAAAGCATATTTTACTGATAGATTTCCAAGTGCCACCTCCAGAGACTGTTGTTCAGCAGGCCTAGGAGTATTTTAATGCTCCTCAGTGAGATCCTTGATAAAAAAATACAGGGATAAAGAGTAGCAGCAACAACAAACTACTGGACTATGAGAAAGAGGAAATGGAATTTCACAGGCGAATCTCATTAGGGTGGAGGTGAGGTCCCACAGATGTAGAGTGCCCCAGGTCCATTGGTCACACATTCAACTTCCGCTCTTGAGCTGCAGTGGACAGGTGAGTTCTAACCCCAGCTTTGCCCCTAAGCACTGTGACCTTAAATGAGTCACACAGCTTCTCTGGGCCTAGGTCCTGTGAAAGTTGGCAGGGCCAAAATGGAGTCACTTATGCCACACTCCAGCTACATGAGGCGGGGAGACCACAGAGGAGGGGCTCTCATGCACACATGCTTATGGGCCTTAATTACTGCAAGGACTTTCTGAAAATCACATTACACAAAAGCTCACCACGACCTGACACAGAGAGCGCCTCTGCAGGGACACCTGTCCTGGACTCAAGGCACCCTTGTTATTTGAACTTTAATCCTGTTTTCTTAATCTTTAAAAGACTTTGCTTCCCCAAATGATGACACACATATTCCAGATTGCCATCTTCTGCTCATGAATGAAAAATCATTTTTAAATCATAAAGAACCATTCTCTGTTGTTATTTAGATTCATAGTTTCCTCCTCTCCAACACTTCTTGTAGAGACAAGCGTGGCATATTATAAAACACAGATCTATGGCAGCCCATCCTAGGAAACTGTAATCTTTGTCCTGTCTTATGGAATTAAACTGAACTCAGAATTAACTATGGAATGAAATTAAACTCAAAGGTTTCGGTCCATGGCTGACTGGCCTCATCGATTTAGGTCTGTGGTGGCACAGTCCATCACGATGAGACACATGGTGGAGGAGGTCACTTCATAGCAGTTGCGAAGCAGACAAGGACAGGAGGGACCAGGGTCTTAATATCCCCTTTAAGGGCACAGCTCCAGGGACCTCGCTTCCCTCCACTAAGCCCTACCTCTCCAGTACCTCTCTAAACAGCCATCTCAGGCTGGGGACTAGGCTTCCAACACAGGGGCCCTTGGAGGACAGTCAAGATCCAACTATAGCAACTCCTGAGGATGGGAGTTCAAAAGGTAGAGCTGAGTTTCTGCCCTTTACGGAAAAAAATTTAAATTATTAATATCATAATCTCAACATCATGTGACTGAGGCTGAATAAAATGTCAAGAAGATGGAGATCAAGGAAAAGATGGGGGCCGGTTACTCTGAGAGCTTGAAGTAATACAACAGTAACTATGTCACTGAGTTTGTACCCATTAGAAATTCCTAGGAAGGCTGCCCATGGTAGTGCTGAGGACCCTGGGAGCCCTACATCAGGAGTCCCAAAGAGCTGAGCTCTGGATGTGACCTCTGGGGCTCATTATATCCTTGTACACTCTCCTTAAAGCTGTCCGGAACTCTTACTACTATTCCCAGAGGTTCTGTACTAGGGATTAACGCTTCCTTCCGACTTTGTGCTTGTCTGAATCAGAAATAACTATTTCTTGGGACTAGACAATGTTCATTCAACTCAGGAAATTAACCACAAGGGAAAATGAGTATTCACATTCAAATCATACACACACACACACACACACACACACACACACACATATGCACGCACAAAAGGAATTAAAGCTCCTTGCTCACAATAGCCAGTTCTGCAATACTGAGGTATTTATGTTCCTAGGAACCCTTGTTCTAGGCAAAAAGGTGCAAAAGAAACCATAGATCTTATGAGCAAAACAGAACTAAGGCCATGACCCCCAAACTTAACCAATTACATATTTTAAAAATGCATAAAAGCAGATGCATCGTTTCAAACATGGTAAAAGACTAGGAAATATTAATACCAAAGTAAACAACACCGTTGCCGTGAAAGAGACCCAGTGTACTCGTGGCAGTGGCCACTGATGGAGTGCAGATCCTGTTGTCTAGGAGAGGGGGGAAAGGGAGATCTGAGGTCAGCCAGAAAGTCTTCACACATCACACCCACAGTGGCCAAAGTGGTCGCAGAATGTATGAGATGTGTGCTGTGTTTAAACTCTTCTCTAAGGTGTTAATTGAATTGGAAAGGGCATTTTCCAGAACAAGTGCTATCACTGCTCTGCGTTTGCTTATCCAGCGCCCAGGGTGGCGACCTCCAAAGCATGGCCATCCCTGGGATCCTAATCACGTTTCCCAAACTGCTGGCCCAGGGAACCCAGGCTGAGCAAAATGGCAAATAGCTATGACTTTCTAGGGTATTCACTAAAGAGATCTGTTTCTCTGTCCATCATGCCGTAAGTTCAGCTTTGTCATGGAAGTTATTATTATTTACGAATAAAACAGCTCACACATTGAAGACAAGCCTCTAGCAATGGAAAAGATCCCATTTCACTTCTGCCTCTTCCTGGATCAGCGGCGGATCCTCTCAGGAGTGAGCATGTATATTCTGTCTGCCACACACAGAAACACAACTGACACAGAGGAACCGGGGCTCCGCCTTGGAGAGTCATCAAAGTGCTTTATTCTGTAAAGCCTGGCTCAAGGCTGGAGTGTACGGTTAGCTCTAGGAGATAAAGGCAAACTTCTTCACTCTGTCCAAACAGAGTATCCATGGGGATGGGTGACAGAGACAGTTACAGACAAAAACAAAGCATTGTGTAAACTTCTAAAAGCATACAGAGATTGGCCACAAAGGAAACAGTTACTCAAATCGTGAATGTATACCTTGTCTTCACTTCACCGTCTCTCATGTGTGAGTCTTGGGTCAAAGGAACCACAGAACTCCAGGACACCAAAATGGATCTGATGCCGGAATTAATGGCGCGGCGGTGGGGTGAGGAACCAGACCAGAGCATCGATTAACTGAGGTCCATAAAGTCCAGATCTGTGCAGCTATGTTACAGTGAAGTTAACAGCGCTGGGTAGCAGATCTATGCAAAGTCAGTCCATAGCAGTCGGGCGCCATCGCTGCTGCTACCAAGGTTGCTGTGAAGGCAGCCCGCACGGGCGGGCACAGCTGAGCCCAGAAAGGCAGTCTGGCGGGGTCTGTGAGCTGTACGTGATTACTGCGGGGTGGATTTTTTTTCCTTTTCCTGAAACTGCCTACAAAAACCATCTCACGTTCTAAACAAAGAGTTTTAAAGGCACAGCTTAGCACAGCGTAGAAGTTGATAACCTACTTAAAGCAAGTCTAACAACATTGAGAACTTGTCACCTTTTGGAAAATGCAGGAAAGCTGGTAGATACACAATGGATGCTGGAGATGTTTAACTTGATTAAACACAATCAGCACAGTTTAGGGCAATGAACTTACATAACCAGATTCGAGTTCAATCCTTTTCTTAAAAAACAAAAACAAATCAGGTTGATAAATGTACATCTGGAGGAAACGAAACAACCTTCATCCTTTTATTGTAACAGACTGCCTGTGTACTTTGAACAAAACATTCACTCAAAAACATGACCGCAGGACACATTTCAGAATAGGACAAACATTATTTCACCTACACTGTAGAATGACTTTACATGTAAACTTCAAAAATCACATGCTGTTTATTACATTTTTTAGATTCAAAAATATCCCTGTTTTCCTAATAATGTAAACAGTAAAACTGAGGGGTTCAGTTAAAGGGATAATTCTTAACAGAACACCACTGTTTAAAACAGCGAGCAAACATAAACCTCTTAGATTCTGGATTTGCACTGGGTCACGGGAGGACTGACAGCAGGAGATGTAGCTACCATTGCCCCAAACTATGCACCTCTGAGGGAAGCCCTATACTTGGTGTTGCAGCGTGAACTGCTGTGCTGCAGCAGAAGGGTGTAATGCTGAAGTCTCCAGGCGAGGAGGGAGAAGCAAGCAGTTTTCCTGGGCATGTTATGGAGGTGAGAATGCAGACAAGTGTCCTGCGGCATCGGCTCTGGGCGGGGAGGAGGAGGGGTGATTCCGGGACCCTGGTGCTGTGGGGACAGAACCCCAAGCCAGTGCACAGCGAGGCGCCGCCACTCTCCCAGCTGGTGCAGGGGGCTGGTGACAGCTATGAAGGAGTCTGCGTGCGGGGCAGAAATGGAACATTCATTCGCAGTGATTTCTTTTTTTCCTTTGCATCATCGTTATTATTTTCACCGTCATTATTATTGTGAATACTGTCTTACATCTTTCAACTCAAGAGAATAAAGCGGTCCACAGTCTGCCAGCTGATGCCACACGCGCGCTGACATCCATTTCCTCCTGCCTCCCCCATGGACCCACTCCTTCGGCCGCGGCTAGAATCTGAGGGTTCCTTCTGATTCAAGCTGGTCCATTTGAATTCATTCACTTGCTAAAAATGTGCACGCGAGCAAGCACACACACGGAGTCCGAAGTAGTGAGAACGATGCTGGGAAATATCAGGTAGCTGTTAGAGCAAGCGGCCCCCGTCAGTCATCTTGGCCCAAAGATGTAAACAAGGTTTGCTTCCTGCAAGATGAACGCTTCACGGCTTCCCCTCACCGGAGCCACCTCTGCTCGTCCCACGTTCGTGCCCACCCATGGCTGTGCGGGAGGTTACGTCAAGATGTGGCCAATAAAGTCCAAAAAGCGCTTGGAATACTGCTCCGGGTTGACAGTTGAGATCTCTGCTCCAGCCTGGGCAGTTTTAAAGGAAAAGGACACCGATATAATGTTGCTGATTTTCCTTAAATTATTACCCAGCATCTATAGCTATCTCCAATTGCAAGTGAATATAAAGTTAATAATACATATTCTTAAATGGTGCTGGGGATGGGACCCAGGGCCGCGTGTGTGCTGGGCAAGTGCTGCACCACTGAGACACTCCCAGCCGGAAAGCGAGTGACATCCGCATGTAGGCAGTCTCTTCTCTTAAACCGCAATTCAAAATACTCTGGCTATTTGGCCAAAGACTCTAAGGGAGCTGTGTTTGAAACAAGGCAAAGGTGGTGGGCGCACCAGGGGCTACTGTCACACCTGTGAGATGGCTGTAATTTAAAGAATCCAAAGAGCCATGCTCGGGACGTTCCCAGCAAACAGGAGAATGTGTAGCTCACCTTCTGAGGCAATGGGAACAAGACCTTTGTTTTCCAAGAAGGCGGACTGGAGACACCTTGAGAATGACAAACATAACCATCTGACAGAAGGGAGAGCTCGGCAACAACGTCTGGGGTTACGTTACTTTTCAAGGACCCTCTTAGTTTGGAAGAGGGGAGAGGTTTGGTGCTCAAGGACAAGGGGCAATGACAGTGACGACCCTGGGGGAGCCGCCCAAACTCCTTGAGCAGCGCAGGCAGTGAGACTCGCTGCTGGCTGTATCTTCCTGTGGAGGCCCCAGGATGCCCCTGTTCCCCTTCCCAGAGACCGAGCGGAGGAAGGAGGCCTGACCCTGGCACAGTGCTGGCCAGCGCACGCAAGCAGTTACTGTCCAGCTTCGTGGGCTGCGAAGGGCAAGGCCAGAGCTTAACACATCAGGTGCTACTTCTTCTATACATAGATCTGTGGGCGAACTTGCAACTCTGAGGCCCAAGCTGCTGGGGTCTCCCCACAGAGGTCCCTGAGGGCAGAGATGACCCTGGACAGCAGCTCGGCACAACACTCCTTGCTAAGAGTAAGATTTTTGTCCTTGCAAACCACTAAGGACTCTGGGCCATGTCGCGGGTTAGGGAGCTAAACTGGTAACTTACGTGGGAGACTTGCATGGACCACACTGGCCACCGTATGATCCCAAGTCCTGGGAACCTACACTTAGAAAACACCTGCCCTGAGTATGGCCTGGTCACCCACTGCAAATGTCCTCCCAGAAAAACCCAAGCAAGCGCCTGAGGCACTGGACCCTGCGTCAGCGGAGGGGACTGACTCTTGAAGAGCGTCTCCTCAAAGCCACTTGGTGGGAAAGGAGACACCGGGGTTCTGCCCAGGTCTGTCTCTGCGAGGAATCAGTGGTTTCCAGTTAGAGCCAAGCACAAGGAATATCACAAGACCTTCTCAAGACTTCTCCCTCAATTCCTGGGCTGGACTCAGAACCTGCAGAGGAGGCAGAATTCCTGGCACAAGCACAGTTTAAAAACAGGGCTCAGAGCCAGGCATGGTGATACACACCTGCAGCTGCAAGTACCTGAGAGGCTGAGGCAGGAGAATTGTAAATTCGAGGCCAGTGTGGACAACTTAATGAGACCCTATTGCAAATGAAATATAAAAAGGGCTGGGGATGCAGCCCTGGGTTTGATCCCTAGTTCTCAAAAAAAAGAAAAGGACACAGAAGGCTCGGTGGTGGGTGGTACCACCCAGCTCTCTCACTGACGTGCTAGAGGCCCAGGGAAGGCCTCGGTCTGCACTCTGCGCATGGCAGGATGGCCACAGCTCTCGATGGTACCACAAAAATATGCCTCTGCCACAGGGAATATGGTTCTAGGCTGGCTCCAGCTCTCGGATGACCAAGAGCCTTTAGCTGAGCTTGTTTGTTCTGGTGCATCTTGGTTGGCTCCACACAGTCTGTGCGAGGCACCCACACGGCCAGGCTCCATGGGGTTCCCCTATCGCACACGGAAGACGGACAGGCGGCTGTGACGCCCAGCCAGGCAGGGCCTTGGAGGAGCCTCCTCTTCCCTGCCTGGAAAGTGACTGCCCTCCCCAGCATCTCCTAGCAGTGAGGAGACACTAGGATCTTCCTCACAGGCCTGTCCCAGGGACTGAAGAGGTTGACAGGTGCCTAGAATGACCATTCTGAGCAAGCACGACACAGGGAAAGAATTAGCATCAGAGACTCTGACCCAACATTCAAAAGCCTTCTTTCTATAACAGAAGAAACACAGTTCTGTGTGAGAAAGGAAATACAATCCTCCTATTTTGGAAAATCCTGCTTCAGTTCAGAATATTGCAGAAGAGAAAGATTTTTTTTCCTCTTTGGGGTGTTTTTAAAACACAGAAGACTCTCAGCCATGTTCCAGGGCTGCCTTGGGGCTGCTCCCGCCACCTGTGAGCGACCTGCCAGAGCCTTAGGGCCAGGAGACCCAGACCGTGTGTGTGTGTGTGTGTGTGTGTGTGTGTGTGTGTGTGTGTGTGTGTGCTGCACACCTCTGGAAAGCCACCTCACTGGAGGCCATGAACAGCGTGGACCCTGCCTGTGGCAGTGGTGGGTACAACAGACAGGAGGGGTCTGTGCGAAACTTACCCCGTGCTTAACGGTTTTTGCAGCATGGGCAGCTTTCTTTTTTGCATCGTAATGAGTGAGGATGTCGATAATGGCCATGAAGTACACTTCTTTCCTGGGCGAATCTGAAACGGAGGGCGACAGTGACTCGGGGACAGGACGACAGCTGACAGTGGACAAAACGAGCTGTGGTTCCCTGCCTGGCCCATGACCCAGTCCTCTTTCCACATAAAAATTTAAAAAAGGGGGGAGGCATCAAAACCCTAGGATACTGACATGGTCCAAGCATGAGACTAAGTGCTTTTATTTTGCTTATTAATCTGGACTTTAATTATAGTGTACTGCTTTGGTGTCTTTAAAATGCTCTTTAAACCCAGGACAAGTTATGCTTACTCTTTTCTACCACTAGGTGCACTGCTCACAATTAATTCTCGTTGGATATATTAAATTGGGGTAAAAGATTACATCACCTATATTATCAACTTTCTATATATTTTCAAAAATATGATTTAGTTATGAATGGTAAAAAATGTATGTATTCTACACTTAATTTTCTGCGAAAAAGAAACAATTTTAGTGAGCAACACAAAATCTGAGCAAAACAGCACAAACCCACTTAATACTCCACTGAGAATAAAATAAAAAGGACCATGCAGGGCCGGGGATTTAGCTCAGCAGTTCCTTTGCCTGCCTCGCAAGCACAAGGTCCCGAGTTCGATCCCCAGTACCAAAAAAAAAAAAAACCATACCTTTTATTACTTGAAAAACAAGGGGAAAATTTTAAAAATCCTAACTCTAAAATCTTTGGGTTTTTCATGGCTAAGCAGCCAGCCAAGGTAGAACATCATCTTCCTCAAATACTCAGCTGCCCGGACACTGGGTGGAGATATCCGGCTGAGAAGGGAGGCAGCACTTCGGGGACCCTCACTCCTGCCCGCGCAGAGCTCCGGGGGCCGCACCCGCGTCTGAGCTCGCTCGGCACGGATTTTCCAATGCTTCTGACTCACTGAAAGGAGAAGTCGGCTAACCACTTCTTTCAAACATTTCTTGTACGCGGTACCCCTGAGCGTGAGCCTGTGCGGTCTATCCCTTTAACACACTTGTCCCCAGCTCAGGGTCCTTGGGCCCCGCAGGAGGCGGCTCACAGGGCAGCGAACTCGCTGGCCGTGGCTCCGGGCGGACCGCACCGCAGAAAGCAAGGCAGGAAGGACACTTACTCTCGTGGCACTTAATCCCGTACACGTCGATGCTCGGGTCGAACTCGCCGGGAGCCAGGGGCGGGGAGCTGTTCAACGTGTTCCCCGGGCTGTCGGGAGGGGTGCCCACCGCGGGCGTGCCGTCGCTCTCCGCCTCCTCCTCGCCCTCGTTCTCCTCGCCCTCCACCTCCTCCTGCTCCGCCCGCTCCACGTCGTGGATCCCCACCAGCAGGCTGTAGTCCATGAGCTTCAACTGGGCGAGAAACTGGAGGGGGCAACAGGCGTTACACCTCAGTCACCAGATTTAACGCACAGCTCAGGCAGGAGGACCCCAAGTTCGAACCCAGCCTGGGCAGATGAGTGACTCGGAGAGACCCTGTCTCAAAATCAAAAATACAAAAAAAGAGGCAGGGGTGTAGCTCAGGGTGAACGCCCTGCGTTGTTTTTAGTACTGCTCAGTAAACAGACAGACACGGAATTTAATGAGGAACTCGGGAAAACACATGGCTGTGTGTGAGGTTTGGAGGTGCCGGGGTCCCCCCGAGGGCAGTTCTGTCCCTTCCAGGATGTTTCTGAGCCAGCACTTCAGGCTGTCTAGAGCTGGCTGATGTTCCCCGAAAAGCAAAGCTGGTAGCCCAGGCTCGCACGGCATGGGGGGGACCACCGCCAAGGGCGGGCATGCCTGGCACGGAGAACGCGCTCCAACAATGAAGACTGGCCAGAGAGAAAGCCAGGGACCTCCCAAGTAGCTTCCAGTGCGGCCTCGCCCAATGGGTTGGGAAGTACTTTGAAATTCAGCACATTCTGAGCACAGGCTATTACCCTGTCCATCACAAGTAAAGGCCCAGAGCCTCAACCAGCAAAGGAGTCACGCCACCGCTCCGGTGCAGAACGCGGTCCCTCTGCCCCACTGACAGGAGATGTGGAAGGCGCTCTGTTTCCCACGAGGCCCCCGCCCGGCCCATGGCCAGCGCACCCTGAGGGCAGGACCTAGCTTGTGGGTTTGCCCATTCCTGTCTGCCAGGGTCTCTGAGTTTCCGTTCCTTTTCATTAAGCAGGGGGTGCACCAGACCCGTGGCACTGACGGAGGGCGCTCTTCTCATCGGTCTGCTGAGTGTCTGTGGGCTGTGACTCCCTGGGCCCCACCGGGCCAGCTCTGTACAGCACCCGGTTCCACTGCAGCCTTGGGCCTGGGGTCCAGGAAGGCACGAGGCCCGACTCCCGGAGAACTCAGCACCACGTTCGCTCAGGGGCGCACAGTGGCTCAAGCATCCACACGCACATGAAAAGCGTGTGCATTCCAGGTGCTGAGTTCTGGCTGAGAATGAAAGGAAGCCAATGTGTGGGGACCTGCAGGCCGCTGCTTTCTCCTGAGCCTGCTGGGAAGTGGCCTGGTCTCAGAGCTGAGTGAGGAGCCGTGTCTCCCCAGACAGGAGAGGACTGGGGTGCAGGTCTGTCCCGGGGCCCCCGCTGGCTGCTTCCCAGGCTGTCACCTCTCCATGGGCCCTGGCATCCTGCTCTGCCACCAGCCTGTCTTTGACTCCCATTTATCTTGAGCCCCACGGGACCAGCTAAACGTTCCACTGTTTTGAGCTCAGAAAAAGAAAGCGTGAGGACCTTATTCCTGGATACTGAAGTCAGGTGGGAGAGCTGTACGCATTTAAAAGCAGAGCGGGGCCAAGCCCTCATACCCAGCCCCACGCCTCCGTCCAGCTCTCCTGGTCCAGAGAGGGCGCCGAGGCGATGGCAGGTGGCCACACACAGTGCCCTCCCTCGCCAGGCCTCCTCAGGGCATGCTGCCCATCTGCCCAGTCCTGGCGGTGCTGGGCCTCAGTGCCGGGGCCAGGGGGCAGCCACTGAAGAGTAATGCAAGGAGCACTGGGCTTCCACCCTCCACCGACACAGGCCGGCCTGGCCAGGGAGCGTCACCCTCGCTGTCACCATCACCGCAGGAACAGACAGGAAGAGAACTGGTGCGGTGGCCCCAAAAGACAACGCCCTATGCCCAGGGATGAAGTTAAGAGAACTCCAGTAGCCCTCACACCGCCTCTGGGGCTGTGCCCGACCTTGTTCTGCACACCTCAGATGGGAGGCAGTGTGCTGAAACCAGCTGGTGTCTGATGAAGGTGATGAGCTCTCTGAGACTCCCAGCAGGGTCACAGCCAGCCCCCGCCTGCCACTGAGGACCCCACGGCCCGCTCCCCCTTTAAGCCCCCAGGCCTGGCTTCTCAGACAACATTTGGGAAATACTGTCAGGAGCAGCTGGCTGTGTCCCTGGCTCTCAGGGGTGCGACCCACGAGGCGCTTACTTAGGCCCCAGCCGTTGGCCCCGGTCTCCAGGAGACCATGCCTGGGCCAAGCGTGGCCCTGGGCTCGAGGACAGGTGTCTCCCTCGTCCTCTCCACTGCTCCACCGTCCAGCATGGTCCAGGGCTCTCCCCTCATGTAGGGTCTCTTGGGCGCCTACTGCCCCATCCCGGATGTCACTCTGCTGGAGGCGGCAACGCCACCCCAAGTCTGTGTGTGCTGGGCATGGAGGACAGGAGGGACCCAGCTGGGCGGGGCCCTGCTGAGCTTGCGCAGGGACAGGGAAAGGTCTTCCCCACCCCACTGCCTGGGCTGGCCTGGAATGTCCCTGTGACGTCTGGTAAAGGTCGGGTGAGCTGGAACTTCCCTCTCCAGCCCTCAACAACGGGAAGGTGTTTTCAACATGCAAACCTGGCTATGCCTTGCTTCTGCTGAAGCCCTTTCAATGACGTCCCTTTTCTCACCGGGTGGAAACAGCTCTCATGGGGTCAGCCTGCTCTCCCCACACCTCCTGGACCCCCCAGGTGTCAGCTGTTGGGGCCCCTGGCACTACACGACTCTGCAAGAGGCCCCTGGCTGGCTGCATGCGCTTGAGTATGTGGGTGACTCCTCCTCCCAACCACGCCTCCCGAGGGCTCTGGCTGGTTTTGCTCGGGGTCCTCCTGACCCTGAGCAGGTGGGGTTCGGACAAGTCAAGGCACAGCCAGCTGCCTCTTCCCCACCTCCCAGCACTGCCCGGTTCCTCCCACCTACTTCCTGTCAGACCCCAAACCAGGAAGCAAAAGCAAAGCGACAGTAGAAACTCTTGTCCCGCACACTGCTCATCCCTCTCCAGGACCCGATCTCACTTTGCCGCCGAGGGCTTCTCTGACCTCCACGTGCACGTCCCAGTGTGCTTTAGGTCCAGGAGCCAGGAGCTTCCTGTGATGAACCTGGCTGGCCAGGGACCCTGAGTAGGCAGGTTCCATGGCCCAGCTGTCCCTAGAGCCCCGAGCAACCCTCCTGGGCCTCGGGCCTATGGTCAGACCCTGCTCCGGCTCTGCCTCCAGTAAGGAAGCAGCAAAAGCGGGGTTAGCTTCGAAAGTAACCCACAAAACCCACAATGAAAGAAATACACCTCTCGGGAGAGAAGCTATTCCACAGGCCCAGGAAGACAGGAAATCCGGTATCATACCTGCTTTCAAATCTGAGACTGGGGTAGAAACAGGAAAGACAGCGTAAGGCAGGGTTAAGAGAAAGGTTCTGCTGATAAGGAGGACCCATTTATTCTTCTCTAATCCCCTTCCTTTTTTTGTGTGATGCTGGGGCCTGAGCCCACAGCCTGCAGCTTGGGAAGCAAGTGCTCTGCCACTGAGCCGTGCCCAGCCTCAGACAGGCTGAAGACGCCCAGGGAGTCTTACTGTCTCTTCAGCTCCGTGCTGAAGAAGTCCACTCTCTGAAAAGGAAATCCCAACACTACTGTGGACTGGGGGCCTACGGGTGGCAAGGGCGGGGGCCAGGGTTCAGTTAATGCTGGGTACTTAAGGTGTTTGCTCGTTTTTCCCCTCTCTGTTCATCCTTTTAAGCATCTAAACACATATTTATTTTTTAAGTAGGTTACGATTTCAAAGTATGGAGATTTTTATCTTCAGTTTCTCTGGTTTTCCAACCTTCTAAGGTCTGAATAATGAATAAACCAATCTCTGATGTACCTCTTTTTCTCTCAGACTCTCTAATCTGATTGCTTCTTAATTAAGCTACCCCCCTGCTTTGGTACTGAAGATGGAACCCAGGGACTCGCACGTGTCAGGCAAACATTCTGCCACCGAACCACGCTCCCAGCCCGTGCCAATTCTTTGTACCAGTGGTCTATGAATCCCATCGAGATCGTGTGGCCAGGGAGCAGTGACCTCTCCTTCACAACAGGTTTAAAGGAACTCTGCTACTTGATTAACACCTTTGTTTCACCATCTAACACATCTCCAATGTAAAAAACATTCTGGTTAGCCCCGTTTAACATCTGACCACTTGTTAAAACTTACAATCTTCTTCCTTTGGCGGATTTATCAGAAACAAACAAAACAAAACAAAACAAACACCAGCCTCAGCTGTGCTCTCACAAGCACTTTTGACTTGCACCTTGTATCAGCAGAGTGAGGAGTGTGGTCTCTGTCAGCCTCAAATCCTGGTCTAAATCGAGGAGCTGCATCGTCTCTGTTTCCCAACTTGGCTTTTGCATCCGCCAAGTAGGGACAGTAGCAGTATCCACAGCTGAGAAGCTTTTCTAGCACCCCGGGAAGGTGAGGCAGGAGGATCACAAATTTGAGCCTAGCCTGGGCAATTCAGTGAGACATGGTCTCAAAAATAAACAAGATCTGGGGCTGCAGCTCCATACGAAGGCCCTAGGTTCAGTCCCCAGCACTGCCAAAAAAAAGATAAAGACTTCACGAGAAAGACTGAGGTTGCAGGCACTCTGTGAACACTGGCTGCCCTCCCACCCCAGGATCCCTACACCTGATCGCCTCACCCACAGCCGTCTGGTCATAAACATGAGCCAGGTGAGGGGTGCATGGTGAAAAGGCTGCTCTGGGCAGCACGGGAAGAGCAGTTTTGCAGGTGTGACACGAGGAGCTCAGTGTAAACTGACAGAGGAGATCCAGGTCGTGATCGGCATTGACAAGAAGCGGGGAGGAAGCAAAGTGACTGGATTCACTACGGAGCACACACGGCCTTTCTTTTCTGTAGAGAGGGTATACGTGTTTAGCTGCGTGCAAAGCTAACGAGGCGAAAGCACCCAGCATCGCTTAGGAACAGAATAGAATTGCTATCATAGAAAGAAGCCACTAGATTCTCCAATGACAATTCTTTTATGGAAAAAACCCAGGCTGCCTACTGAGCTGTAACAAACTTAGACCTTCTACTTAAGCATTATGGAAAGAAAACAAACAAAAAAATAACAACAAAAAACTACTCCAACCTTAGCAGTCAGTCCAGTCAGCTACACTAAAAAGAGTGGAATTGATAAAAAGAAAGAAAACCAGATTAAATTCTAGTCTCATTGTCGAGATCAGATGTCAAGTTACTTCACCGTAATTACCTGCTTAAAAATTTAATGATGCTTCTGCATGAATTTCAAAACTAAAGACACTGTTATCAGCCACCAAGGAAATTTTTTTTAATGAAAGAACACTTCATACTCCGTCTCCATTTCAACAAAACAGCTAAGTGTGAGAGCTGTGTATGAGACTAAACTATCCAATCCTTTAATCAACGACATTATTAGATTCAACAAAAGGGCTAAGAGGATCCTCATGTAATTCAACTCTAAGTTTGAACTGCCTGAGTCACATTATTTCCGGAGGCTAAACATTGTGGTGATATGCAGCCGACAGAAAGGAAAATGAAGATAATTTTGGGGAGCAGGTCACAGATAATCCAGAGGGCTACTTACCATAATTACTAAAATAATATTATTCTCAGGATGAAAGATTTGTTGATTAATCAGTAAAAATCCAAGAGTATTTCCCCTATGGTCCTCCACTTAATTATCAGTTAGATCAAGTTGACTCCAAAGAGAAAATGCTTAACTAACATGCATTTTAACAGTAACCACAGATGACCGAGGAAAAATAAATGCTGATTAATAAAAAGCCTGGAAACATTACATGCTAAAAGCAAATACCTGTGCCTATGCTTTTGTTTTTAAATTAGACACTCGTGTCCTTTAAAAATATTTTGTTAAATGATCTAAAAATAACTAGCAATGAACTTGGTCAACCTGAGTGTCTTGCTATGCAAAGAGCTGTTAGATTAAAAAGGAAATTAAAATACTGCTTGGCCTTTGTGGGGATCAAATGCATGACATTCATTCTTTGGCTCTAGCCATTTTAATTGTTTTTGTTTAATGATATGAAAAAGAAAATCTTTCTCCAAAGCTTCTCTAAGTAGCACCTCTTAGTATGTGGAGAACGATACTTCAAAGTAAAAAGAAAAAACTGTGCACACCCAAATAAAAGTAACAGCCAAGAGAGACCTAGTCTGGTAATTGCCCGAATTAGAATTCTCTCTGTGCCACTGTGTAACTCAACACATTAGAAGGAAACAAATCTTTCACTGAGTTTATCTCTAACAGAATTAAACAAGGATTCCAACAGGGAAGCGGCAGTGCTTTTATACCCATCAATCTGACAGAAAGAGGTGTATTTTAGATTCTCAAACATGACTGTATTTAACAAGAAACTGTCGTGACAGGCTCACAGCCCTCTGGAACACTCACTGCCCTGTCGTTCCCGTCATTCATGTGCCCAAAATGTCCTGAGCCAGCCCGGGCCACAGCAAGGCGACGCTCTGGGTCCGGGCCCTGTCCAGGGCGGCTGGTGGCACAAGCGGTGTGGACCAGCTCTGAGATGTGGCCAAGAGGCAAGAGGCCTTCCTGGTGTTGGTCATCCCAAACCGGCGGACTGCATTTTCAAACCAGATCACACCACACACAGTGCACTGTTTCTACTGGAGCGGAGAAGGCAGAACATGTCCACTTCTGCCTTGGTAGCAGGTTTTAACAGATGGGTTACAAAATGCCTTAAAACCAACAGCCTTGAAACTGAGACAGTGTCGTTGTCCTGACTATTGGTCTTACCTCGACATCCTTTTTCAGTTTTTCCAGGAACGCCTTTTTGTTACTGTCATCAATATAAATCTTTTGGCCCTCATTAATGAAATCATTATCCTTTAAAGTTGGCAGTTCTTTGGCCTAAAACAAAGGAGAAAAAGGAGAAAGAAGTCTGAATAAAATCTAAACAACAAGTACACCCTCCAAACCTGGAAATTTAAAAGAAGAAAAGGTCTGAAGGGGAAATGTGGTGGTTGGGGGGTGGGTAGGGGAAAGGAAAGAAGGGAAAAAGTATGAAAAAAGAAGGAAAAACTGAAGTTTTTATAAATAGGGAGGGGTGGAAGGGAGGGAAGGGGAATAGGGAAAAAAGAAGAACCAAGAGACATCATGGACAGGTACAAATTCCCAATGATGAGTGTGATCATAGTGTGTACCTAAAAAGTACCAGTAAACTTAATTTAAAAAGTTTGCCCTTGTTCACCCCAGGGTTCTCACCCAAGGCAATGAAGTGTGAGGGGTCCTGAGTGCCGCCAGGGGGCACCAGTAAGCTGTGACGGCAGGAAGCCTCCCACAGCAATGGGGGGAGAGCCAGGCCCCGCTACAACACAAGTCATGTTTTTACAAGAACCTCACTGCTTCCTCTGATTTACTCTCTTACAAGAAGTCTTCTAATTATAGAATCCGAATTCTTGGAATGTCAGGAACCCTCAATTGTCTCACTGGTACAACCCAACTCCATCCCTACCCAACTCCTGGGCCGCCTCTGCCCAATTCTGGTTATAAATAACACTGTATCTTGTCTCACAGAAGCCCAACCACAGTCACATCTGCTTTCTGAGTCAGGGAAGGAGAACAGCCAGTCCCTCATCATCTGTCCTTTGACCCCCTTGCTCCCCATTCCTAGGAGGCAATTCTGTTCTCATTTGGAAGTCAAAGGAAAAATAAAAAAGCCGCGTCACAAAACGCACTAAGATGACAATGTCTATCCTTCACCAGAACCCGAGAGAATGACCTGGTGAGTAGGCTGCCCTTGGGCTGACCGTCATGACTGAGCTTGTACGGCAGCACACAGAACCACAAAGGCAGCTACCTTTAAAACCATTTAGATAATTTCATCTCACACAGTGCAGTCTGCATTGCGAGAGAGTTAAAAAAAAAATCAGTCAGTCTCCCCCAACCCAACTCCCCTTAGGCAGGTAAAAGGAATCCAAGGTAGTATATGTTGCCTTTCTCTGTATAATAATGAACCATAACTGGTCCTTTTCCCATTAAGTATAAACCAAACGGCGGCGGGGGGGGGGACTCACCTAAGGAAACAAAACATTCCTCTTCCCGGTTCCTGTCTGCTTCCCAGGAAGAAAACACCCCAGGTGCATCTACTGTACCACCCTTCAAATGCTTGAGCTATGAACTTTCTCCTCTCACTTTACGTGTAAGTGGGGATATTCACAACCACCAGTACACACACAAGTGCATATACCATGCATTTCTCAACTAGTAGCTATAGCTATTAATTTTAATTTTAAGAAGGAAAACGTTTGACCACTTTACAACTCTGAATTACGACTGTTAAAACAATCACTTTCATAAAGTAAGTGTAACAATGTTCAGAAATTCAAAGATTTGACTCAGCTGGCATCTTACTGCATTACCGTCACATACAGGAAGGCCAATGCAAACAGGTCACAAGTCCTACCGTGAAGGACTCTAGTCTTGTATGGGAGAAGGACATGATAGCAAACACACAGAAAATAAAGCAGCAAGAGTATGCAGGACAGAAAGATAAATAAGATTCTAGGGGGAGACTGATCTTTTCAAATACTTTTAACTGAGGAAGTCCAGGAAATAAAAACACAACATCATTTTTCACAGAAATTCAAGACGGGCCTTGTTAGACAAACCCCCTAAGTCTATCATTAACAATTTTTAAAAAATGCAATAAATATAAACACATCCTAAACATCTTCCCTCAGAAGAGAGCATGATAATGTTGATGTCAGTCACACCAGAGTACAGGGTTTCTCTTCAGAACTGCCAACAGGACAGAGGTCTAAGCGGAAGAAATACAGTTTCCGAATATCAACAAAACTCATTCAGAGTTTTGTCCTGATTCACACAACCAGGAGCAAATGAGAAGAAAGGGCTGAGAGGCCAGTTGTCTTCAAGCAGACAACTCAGCTGTTTTTGTGTAACTGTGTGGGGTTAGGGGTGTTAAGGATTAAGATATCCACCTCGAGTCTATAGCTCATTTTGTTTGTTTAAGAAAAGAAGGAAGAGGGATGTGTGTGTGTGTGTGTGTGTGTGTGTGTGAGAGAGAGAGAGAGAGAGACAGAGAGAGAGAGAGCGCTGAAGGCTGAGACGACAGATCCCAGACAAGGCAGCAAGTCACACATGAGAGATGTTTGTAACACAAGTCACATTAATGAAGATGAATGCCACTTCAAGTTCACCCCAGCAGAATTGCCTCACGTGACAGGGAAAGGCTAATCCTACCCCATAAAATGCTGGTCACCCTGTACTGTATTACTAAGCTTACTTGTGAATTTCACAGGCACTAGGAATATATTTAGATTGGATCGGGTTCAAAAAAGGGCAACCAAATTGGTTGAAAGACTTAAGGGCTTATTGAAAGGATCAAGAGGCAGTGACGGGTCATCAGCAGGGCAGCTGCAGTGAGAGGAATCGACCTGTCAGCGAAGACCCACCTCCCCACGTCCCCCTTGAAGCGGTGTGAGGAGCCTCAGGATCTTGCAGGCAGGAATCCCAGGTTCCCAGCCTGGGTCCACCCCTTTCTTTCCAGGGACCCAGACCAGCTCCTGGGCCTCTCCAGGAGGGTGAAGAGTGGGGAGGACTCCACCACCGCTCCGGACGGGCTGGGTCCTGTGCTGAGCACGTCCCGCGTATCACTTTGCAGACTCTGTCTCATTCGCTCCTCGAAATGTTCTCACCACCCCCGCAGTTTAAGGGGTCTCACAGCTTGGTGACTGACGAGCTAAGATGGAAACCCTGGCAGCCGAGGGAGCACTGCCCTGAGGAGTCAGCCAGAATCCGCAGGACACGAAAGTGGTGGGCAGGACCTGTTACCGTTACTAACACCAGCACAGCCGCCACCACCCACGTGAGCAAGGAACAGATTCTAGGGATTGAAAGCTGGTATTACACACTGAGAGACTGCATACAAAGCATTTTCTTAAAAAACAAAAACGTTTGTTCTTTTCTTTTTTTAATAAACTAGCTCAAGATTATGTCAGCTGACAATGAATGATTCACTTAGGCAAATGTTGCGGCCTTTCCATAAACGACTGCAATATCCCTCTGATTCCATTAGAAGCACACCTTTTTTTTTCAAAGTGGGAAACCACTAAGCCAGAGTTAACAAATGCACTGAAGTTTGATGTGGGGCGCACTCGGACCACACACCAGCCTGTACTCCTGAAGGTACCTCAGCGGGGACTCACTGCCTGGGGCCACTTCACTTCGCCAGGTCCCACCAGATGCAGAGGGGCCCTGGCTCTGTGCCCACTGTAATTCAGCTCTGAGTTCTGGCTGGAGGAATGTGATCTTCTACAGAAGCTATTTCTAGAGGAGAAAATCCACAGAAAAATATACTGTTTTGCTTTTAAACTAAAAGCCAAATGAGAATAAAACGTGGCTGCATGATAATAAAAACTGGGTAAATTAACTTTTGTGGGGTAATAAAGTATCTAAAATTTGATATTAAGTACATGGAATAAAATGTAATGACTATTATACACACACA